TTGGAAGTGATGGAAGTGTATTCAGTGTTGGAAGTTTCGTCATTGTTGGAAGTGTAGTCAGTGTTGAAAGTGTTGGAAGCGTAGTCCGTGTTGAAAGTGTTGGAAGTTTAGTCAGTGTTGGAAGTGAGTGTAAATGTTGTCAGCGTTGGAAGTGTAGTCAGTGTTGAAAGTGTTGGAAGTGTAGTCAGTTTTTGAAGTGTTGGAAGTGTTTGATGTTTTCGAAGTGTTGAAAGTGTTGGAAGTGTTGGAGGTGTTGGAAGTGTTGTCAGTGTTCGAGGTGTTGGAAGTGTAGTCAGTGTTGAAAGTGTTGGAAGTGTAGTCAGTGTTGGAAGTGTTCGAGGTGTTGGAAGTGTAGTCAGTGTTGGAAGTGTAGTCAGTGTTCGAGGTGTTGGAAGTGTAGTCAGTGTTGGAAGTGTTGGAAGTGTTGGAAGTGTAGTCAGTGTTGGTAGTGTAGTCAGTGTTGGAAGTGTAGTCAGTGTTCGAGGTGTTGGAAGTGTAGTCAGTGTTGGAAGTGTTGGAAGTGTAGTCAGTGTTGGAAGTGTAGTCAGTGTAGTCAGTGTTCGAGGTGTTGGAAGTGTAGTCAGTGTTCGAGGTGTTGGAAGTGTTGGAAGTGTAGTCAGTGTTGGAAGTGTAGTCAGTGATGGAAGTGTAGCCAGTGTTGGAAGTGTTGGAAGGTGTGGAAGTGTTGGAAGTGTAGTCAGTGTTGGAAGTGTTGGAAGTGTTGGAAGTGTAGTCAGTGTTGGAAGTGTTGGAAGTGTAGTCAGTGTTGGAAGTGTTGGAAGTGTAGTCAGTGTTGGAAGTGTTGGAAGTGTAGTCAGTGTTGGAAGTGTAGTCAGTGTTGGAAGTGTTGGAAGTGTTGGAAGTTTAGTCAGTGTTGGAAGTGTAGTCAGTGTTGGAAGTGTTGGAAGTGTTGGAAGTGTTGGAAGTGTTGGAAGTGTAGTCAGTGTTGGAAGTGTTGGAAGTGTAGTCAGTGTTGGAAGTGTTGGAAGTGTAGTCAGTGTTGGAAGTGTTGGAAGTGTTGGAAGTGTAGTCAGTGTTGGAAGTGTTGGAAGTGTAGTCATGGTTGGACGTGTAGTCAGTGTTGGAAGTGTTGGAAGTGTAGTCAGTGTTGGAAGTGTTGGAAGTGTAGTCAGTGTTGGAAGTGTTGGAAGTGTTGGAAGTGTAGTCAGTGTTGGAAGTGTTGGAAGTGTAGTCAGTGTTGGAAGTGTTGGAAGTGTTGGAAGTGTAGTCAGTGTTGGAAGTGTAGTCAGTGTTGGACGTTTTGGAAGCGTAGTCAGTGTTGGGAGTGTTGGAAGTGAAGTCAGTGTTGGAAGTGTAGTCAGTGTTGGAAGTGTAGTCAGTGTTGGAAGTGTTGGAAGTGTTGGAAGTGTAGTCAGTGTTGGAAGTGTTGGAAGTGTTGGAAGTGTAGTCAGTGTTGGAAGTGTTGGAAGTGTAGTCAGTGTTGGAAGTGTTGGAAGTGTTGGAAGTGTAGTCAGTGTTGGAAGTGTTGGAAGTGTAGTCAGTGTTGGAAGTGTTGGAAGTGTTGGAAGTGTAGTCAGTGTTGGCAGTGTTGGAAGTGTAGTCAGTGTTGGGAGTGTTGGAAGTGTAGTCAGTGTTGGAAGTGTAGTCAGTGTTGGAAGTGTTGGAAGTGTTGGAAGTGTAGTCAGTGTTGGAAGTGTTGGAAGTGTAGTCAGTGTTGGAAGTGTTGGAAGTGTAGTCAGTGTTGGAAGTGTTGGAAGTGTAGTCAGTGTTGGAAGTGTTGGAAGTGTAGTCAGTGTTGGAAGTGTTGGAAGTGTAGTCAGTGTTGGAAGTGTTGGAAGTGTAGTCAGTGTTGGAAGTGTTGGAAGTGTTGGAAGTGTTGGAAGTGTAGTCAGTGTTGGAAGAGTTGGAAGTGTTGGAAATGTAGTCAGTGTTGGAAGTGTAAGTCGATGTGTCGGTACGTTTTGTTTACAATGACGAGGGAGCTGTTATTGGTAATTGAGAGCTATATAATAATTAAATGTATTGCTGTCGTAAAAACACTATGATATCAATTATGATATTCTAAATTCGATTTTCGGATAGCTTTATATATTTTGTTGATACTATTAATTAGATTTATTCTGAAAACACGGTTTTTTTTCAAATATGTCAAGGAAATGTCAATTGATATCACCATTTCTATTTTCAGATGTCACTTATTTATGTTATTTATTATTCATTTGTTTATAACATGAAATTAACATTTGATATATAAAAATAGGGAAATAATAGTAACGGGGGGCTCATACACAATCATTTATGGTAAGGTAGATGCTTCACATATACGTTTCTTACACAAGGAATTATTTATTTATCAACATATAGTTAATCTTGGTCTTAGATTTTAAAATCATTAACAACAACAACAACAACAACAATAACAACAACAATATTCAAAACAGAAAGGAATACAATGTGCCTGACACATGTACACACAAAGTGTTTTCTGCAACCTGCAGAAAGTCGAGTATTGCGCCGTTGCATGGATTGTCAAGTCCTGAACAAAAACACACGCTTGGCATACTTGAAAGCTTGCCACCAGCCGATGTGGCGCCCCCTGGCGATATCCCTGACAAGGGCAGCGCTTATGCTGGTGAACAGGTGGAGTAGTTCTGTCATCATTTGAATCTGTAGACACGTTTGTCACTACAAATATTGTTACGAATAATACTAAAACAGTACTTGTGAATACCGTAACCAATAACAAATAGTAAATACTGAATATGCAGTCTTCAATAAGAGAGTAAACGGCACCTTAGTTTAGCACAATATGAGTTGAGGTGAAATTTGGTTTTACGTCGCGTCCAAGGTTATTGCAATTGTATAGCAATGTGCATGCACGTGCGTGTGTGTGCTTGTACTAGTCCGGACTGATGCCGATTTATACTGCTAGCACACTGATATACCATGCCGCAGTTTAAACTGAAAATACCCCACTCAGACACAGTATACTGACTTCGAGTCGACCAGTCCTTGTTTTAACCCCTTAATGCCGACAGGGTAACAACAAGTACCATCTTTTAACGTCTTTAGGTATGACGCGGCCGGGGAACGAACCCCGGGCCGTCCCCTCTCAGGGCGGATGCTCTACCACGGAAGCGTCATTAAGCACAATGTATACGAAGTCAATCAACGTAGCTTCGCAAGAACGTCTGGAAGACAAAAGTGCAAAAGCATTCCCCAATGTGGAGCACGAGTAAAGGTGAATCATGGGATTGTTGAAAAGAGTGAACGTTGTGTTCCTTGATGTAAACTTCGAGTGAAGCAGAGAAAACGTTGTGTTCTTTGATGTGAACATCGAGTGAAGCAGAGTGAATGTTGTGTTGCTTTATGTAAACATAGAGTGAAGCAGAGTGAATGTTGTGTTCCTTAAAGTAAACATAGAGTGAATCAGAGTGAATGTTGTGTTCCTTAATGTAAACATAGAGTGAAGCAGAGTAAATGTTGTGTTGCTTAATGCAAATATTGAGTGAAGCAGAGTAAATGTTGTGTTCCTTTACGTAAACATCTGAATGAAGCAGAGTGAATGTTGTGTTCCTTAATGTAAACATAGAGTGAAGCAGAGTAAATGTTGTGTTCCTTAATGTAAACATAGAGTGAAGAAGAGTAAAATGTTGTGTTCCTTAATGTAAACATAGAGTTAAGCAGAGTGAATGTTGTGTTCCTTAATGTAAACATAGAGTGAAGCAGAGTGAATGTTGTGTTCCTTAATGTAAACATAGAGTGAAGCAGAGTAAATGTTGTGTTCCTTAATCTAAACATAGAGTGAAGCAGAGTAAAATGTTGTGTTCCTTAATGTAAACATAGAGTGAAGCAGAGTAAATGTTGTGTTCCTTTATGTAAACATAGAGTGAAGCAGAGTAAATGTTGTGTTCCTTAATGTAAACATAGAGTGAAGCAGAGTGAATGTTGTGTTCCTTAATGTAAACATAGAGTGAAGCAGAGTGAATGTTGTGTTCCTTTATGTAAACATAGAGTGAAGCAGAGTAAATGTTGTGTTCCTTAATGTAAACATAGAGTGAAGCAGAGTGAATGTTGTGTTCCTTTATGTAAACATAGAGTGAAGCAGAGTGAATGTTGTGTTCCTTTATGTAAACATAGAGTGAAGCAGAGTAAATGTTGTGTTCCTTTATGTAAACATAGAGTGAAGCAGAGTGAATGTTGTGTTCCTTTATGTAAACATTGAGTAAAGCAGAGTGAATGTTGTGTTCCTTTATGTAAATATCGGGTGAAGCAGAGTTAGTTTTGTGTTGTTTAATGTAAACATTGAGTGAAGCAGAGTGAATGCTGTGTTCCTTCATGGGTGAGTGAGTTGGGTAATACGCCGCTTTTTGCAATATTCCAGCAATATCACGGCGGGTTATAGGCTTCACACAGTGTACCCATGCGGGGAATCGAACCAAGGCCTTCGACGTGCTGAGCAAACGCTTTAACCACTAGTCTCTCCACCGCCACGTTCCTTCATGTAAATTTCATGTGAAGCACCATTCACTTTTCATAAGAACACAATCTACATAACGCACATTAGTGCTGAGGGACCGACCATTGGATAATCTAGTGGTGGTTAGCATATATTAAAAAATTGTCTCCGAAAAGTCTTAAAAAATATAATTATATTTTAAACTGTTAAAAAAAGAAAGAAATAGCCTGCCACAAAAAAATACATTGATGCAAAAAATAGCTGGTTTTGTAACTGCAGCTGAAAAATTATCTAATCTCGGTACAACACCCCAAAACCCCAGAATATCAAATGGTCGGTCCTAAACAAACGGAATGCGGGAAATGATGTAAAATCAACGATAAATAGATCTCTTTTTTTTCAGTGGGATCGAACTTGAAAACCTTCGTTCTTTTATTTGTAGTGAGTGGACCACTTGGCTACAGAGGCGCTTATACACCAAGAACGTCTTTTTCAAGTACATGTACGAGCGTAAGCCAGCAAAAGGTATTGTAAGCCCGTTTCCTAAGGCTAAAAATGTAGTCAAAACATAAAATTGTAAGCAATGTTGTTTCAGATTTTTCGATTTATAGGACACATAAAACACTGATCCCTCGGGTTTGGGTGAAAATACAAACACTCAGGGTCGGGACAAACCTTTGGGCCTTCGGCTCTTGGTCGTCAGTTTGTGCCTCTTCGCCATGTCCATCAAACACATCCGGGAGAGTGTTTTATCCTTTGAATAAACATTAAGTAAAGCAGAGTGTATGTGCGTTTTTTACGTAAAGCTAGAGCAAAGCAGAATTATTCGTGTGTTCTTTCATGCAGACCAAGAGTAAAACAGAATCCAACCTGGGTTATGTTGCGAGGAACTAACTGTTTCACCAATACGTTCTTCTTGTATACGTACGTTTGACCATACCCTGTATTACATGGTCCTGCTACTCCTTTTATCTTTTATTCAATGAAAACATGCCTGCCCACAGCCATGATAGAGATGCAGGCATCACTAGACAAGCTTCAAACGCATAAAAGCATTTATCCTAGCGTATTATGGCTTTGACAGCATGACCCCCGATAGCCTACGAAAGTGTTCGGACAGCAAATTACTGTAAACATGGCCCAGTGAAGGTCATGCACCCATGCGGCGTTCCTTGTCATCGTTTACGTATAAATAACTATATGGGCAGTGATCTATCAGGTGTGTTTACAAGGGCACGGACGCTGACCACGGCATGTATGTTCACATCGGATGACCCTAGACACATGCTTGTTGAGGACTGGGATACTGTAGTAAGTACATAACTATACTGAACTACAATTTTGAAACTTGGTTGAGGGGTTTGGTCAAATAACGTAACTTGGAATGTTTGGGAAGAAAGGATGTCAGACGGTTACGTACTCCCGTTGGGTTTCATAACAATTATCAGAGACCCTGTCCCGGGATTGTATTATGCTAGCCAATAGTAAATCAAACCAAAATCAAAGCATTTAATGACTAGTTGATATGTACGTTGATTCGGATCTTATTTAAGTGCCACTGGAGGGTATATTCAGAAAGAAACACACCTACATGTTTATAATGATAACCTAAGACCTGAGTTAAATGCGCATTTGCACTCCATCACTCCTCATGGATCGTGCTGAACGAATTGTTACAGTCCACGAAAGTTAACCAACTGTTCTGGAAACGCTTGATGATGTATTACTGAACACGGCCCCATTCTGTTACGTGTATGTCCATTAAATTTTTTTTCCCTCTCTGTACTTTATGATTAGGGGTTAGAATAAAACGGAATAGCAAACACGAATTTAATAGCATCTGAAATATAGATTCGCATTATGTTGTTGTAAAACATCTAGTATCGTCGTAATACGTCATCCTCATCCAGCTCGATCCAGGTCATCCTCATCCAGCCCGATCCAGATTGTGAGCGGTTCTCCATATGCGCAGTCAGGTGCCTATATATTTCCGTAGCAACATTGTCACTCATGTACAATGCTTTACAGTGCTGAGAAAGGGTAACATGACATACACTATTTTTTCCATACCATAGACCTTGCCATCTGACGTCAACAGTGTTTTCTGTTTCACAGTAGACAAGGGAAAGCTGAGGGGACTAACTAGGAGGTCGGAGGTACGTAAAGTAAAAGTACCCAGAGAATACTACACTCGAGCTCTTTAGATAACCTTTTAAAAAGGTGAGTGGTGTTTCGGTGAATTTACGAGTTATAAAACTATCTTAAATCTTCTATTATGGCTAATGTACTATCTTGAACATCGTTTATTTGCCCGCCAATGCACCCTTTTTAACGTCTACTTCTATTTCCCGAGATTGAACTGTCTTGAACTTCTTCTCTTTCCCGTTATTGAACTGCCTTGAACTTCTTCTCTTTCCCGAGATTAAACTGTCTTGAACTTTTTCTCTTTCCCGTTAATGAACTGCCTTGAACTTCTTCTCTTTCCCGAGATTAAACTGTCTTGAACTTTTTCTCTTTCCCGTTAATGAACTGCCTTGAACGTCTTCTCTTTCCAGAGATTGAACTGTCTTGAACCTTTTTTCTCCTTCCCGTTAATGAACTGTCTTGAACTTCTTCTTTTTCCCGAGATTGAACTGTCTTGAACATTTCCTCTTTTCCGTTAATGAACTGCCTTGAACGTCTTCTCCTTCCCGATATTTACATGTAACTGTCTTTACCTTCGTCTATTTCCCAATACTGAACTATTGCCGTTTGTTGTTTTCTGACTTGGTCCAAATTTGAATTTACATGTATTGAATGAGGAACTTTCAAAAAGTTGACTCGGTCCTCAGTAATCACCACTGTGTGCTGTAAACTTGGGGAGACGGACTTACATCAGCACTTTAGGTGGAGATGTGGCAGCCTAGTAGTTATAGCATTTCCTCGCCATGCCCGAGCTTCCCCACGTTAGTGTATGTGCTAAGCCAGTTCACGGTGGTCCCCATATGACTGGAATATTGCTAACGTGTCGTAAATACTCACTCATCATGATCACTATGATTCACAACGTCCGGATGTTTCAGTGTAAAAGTTAAGCTGCCAAGAAAACATTACAATCGTCGGTGGACCCCTAGGCCACAACAGGGTAATACTTACCCGGGTTCTCGTCTCTCATTCTTTAAAATATATTCTAGTTTGAGTTTGTATATTTTTTATCGTGAACACGTTTTATTTCAAAGAACATTAGTACAGTGTACCTACTTTGCGTATATGTATTTAACCAGCCCGATGCCTACTTTAACTAGCACTCACTTCACTAATACATGTGTAAACCAGATGGCGGCCCAGTAGATTTATGTACAAAACGTTGGGCAAAAGAAAGTATGCACTTGAAAATTAGATTTGACAAAACAATTACAAACGTCATGAAAGCATGACGAGGGGCAAATCAATCGCCGAAACACAGGTCCAGAACAAAGCTATGTTACCCGTTTCAAAAACACCATCATCTAACGGCCATTTCCTGTTTGCTTCATTTCTAGCAACCATCAAACATGGGTGTATACTGTCTTTGCCCGGCGGTTTATTAAAAAAAATGTTGATCAATATTTTTTATAGAAATAAATGCAATTGTTTTCATAATACAATTGGAGTATACAGATAAACTGAAATATGTGTGGCTCTTACAAAGCGCATGTATAGGTCGTGAGTCATACAGAGCAGTGATTATACATTGACCTGGGGACTTTCCTTTTCAGCGGTGTTCCCCTCCCAAATCTGAGTGATCTTCCACGCACACACACCACACATATGTGAAACGTGATAATGTTATCAGTGTTCGTTCTCAGGTGATACGCTCCGCAGTGGACTTACCCGCCCTTGGATGGATATATAAAGTGGTTCCAGCGCCTTGCATCTTTAAACTGGTTCCACCACCTTGCCTCCAGGATAGCACACAAGCCTATGACCCAAACGTAAAGCCATTTGTACACTGAGGAATAGTAGCATTAGAAATTATCTTTTCATCTATAAATGATAGCGTTTGGAAATACGGTGCGGACACAATAAGAATACAAAAGATGAGGCTTAATTTTGATGATGTTCTGCGGCATCTGGGGGAGTTTGGACGCTATCAGAAAGGGGTGTACTTTCTCCTGTGTCTCCCTGGCATCGCCCATGGAATCAGGATGATGATCAGCGTGTTCCTCCTCAACGTTCCAGACCACAGGTGAGTGGACCAATTTGCATGTGTTATTGCATATATTTGACATGCGTCTGTAGAGCTCCTAGTTCATGATGCTCTATGTGTTGTTTTATTAACCGTGCACAGACCGCATGTTACTTTCTGACGTATGGTATATCCATTGATAAATACAACCCATTACATGTATCTAAACACGTTAGGCTGTTTCCAGTAAACATTGTAAGTATATATTATTCTTGCAGCGTTAGATAAAGCCTCTACAAGAACCGTTTAATATGTCTGTAAACTCTTGGAGGTAATATTGCTGTCTGCCCTGTTTGGACAATTGCACGTTCCAAAGTGCGTCATTTTATTGTGTACGCCACACAAATCGCATATATTTTGGCATTTGCACAAATTTGTCAGAACGCTTTATCAGGCTTCTGATTTAGCAGAAGTAATTCATAGGTTAATGAGTGTACTCAACTAAGCGTTAAATTGTCATTTTTTTATTCAAAGGTTTCGAACAAAACAAGACATGAAACTTTGGTTGTTTTCTCTTGGAAGAATAATCACGTGATAAGATTGTAGTTGTGTAGTAAGAACATGCATCTCAAGTCATCTACATACTTTGAGTTCTTAGTTCACAGAAATCATTTAGGATTTTTAAGATACTTTCATTGTATTAATTGTATGTGGGCCTGTGGCCTTAATACTGAAATAAATTATATACAGTTCACAGAAATGAAAGAATGTTTAATTTTCAAGCGTCTTGATTGATTGAACAATTATCTTCGTCTTTGAAGACACTAAATTCACCAGGTAAAAGGCAAGATTGGTTTTAACAGACATTCACAAATTAAAGTTGTGTCATTGCGTCCTGCCGGCCCTTATTTTCGGCGTTTAATTTACAGGGATCTGTGGACAATAGGTGTCCATGTTCAAATGTAACATATCATTAAGTGCATGTTATGACAGGACACAACTAGAGCATGTAATTAGTCAGCATGCTGTCTTGGTACAGCCCTGCAATGCCGTACTGCGGCCTGTTCACCTTGGTAGTAACTTGAGTTTAGACGTTGTCCAGTATTTCAGTTTTAATATGACATATCAGGTGTATGTAGGAAGAATGCCTATTAATAAGGTGGCGAATAAAGTCGAAATCGTACAACGGACTCTGCTTTTATCAGATATTTGTTATAATTATTAAAAATGGTTCAGTCGGTTATATTTATGGATGCCTAAAAATATATATATGTTTTTATTCATAATGTTATAATTCGCTGTTAACCGATGAACAGTAAAAATACAAGCTGGTTACAATGTTTCTTGGTAAGATGTTGTTATGGTATAGATGATGTTGTTGTGATGTCGTTCGTTGTATTACTTTGGTTCTCACATGCTGCCCCTTTTACTATCTTAATCATTATAGACCATTTAGGTTCCTCTTTTGCCGAGTTAGATAGGTTAATCTTCTTCATTATGTTATTTTGTCGTTGAAGATGTATATTACCGTAGGTGTGTGTGTGTGTGTGTGTGTGTGTGTGTGTGTGTGTGTGTGTGTGTGTGTGTGTGTGTGTGTGTGTGTGTGTGAGAGAGAGTGTGTGTGTGTGCGCGCGCGCTCTTCACTGTATCTCATCGATACCAGTTTCCACTCAATTTCTTACACACCGAGAACCTGTAAATTTCATCAGGTAGGGGACTAGAGTGTATGAACGGAAAGTCACGAAGTAGGCATGGGACGTCACAAAGTAGACATGGAACGTGCTGATGTATGAACGGAACGTCAAGAATTGGGCATGGGACGTCACAAAGTAGACATGGAACGTACTGATGTATGAACGGAACGTCACGAAGTAGGCATGGGACGTCACAAAGTAGACATGGAACGTGCTGATGTATGAACGGAACGTCACGAAGTAGGCATGGGACGTCACAAGGTAGACATGGAACGTACTGATGTATGAACGGAACGTCACGAAGAAGGCATGGGACGTCACAAAGTAAACATGGAACGTACTGATGTATGAACGGAACGTCACGAAGTATGAACGGAACGTCACAAAGTAGACATGGACGTTCTGATGTATGAACGGTACGTCACGAAGTAGACATAGAACGTTCTGATGTATAAACGGAAAGTAACGAAGCAGGCATGGAACGTCACGAAGTATGAACGGACGTCACAGAGTAGACATGGAACGTTCTGATGTATGAACGGAACGTCACGAAGTATGCATGGAACATCACAGAGTATGCATGGAACGTACTGATGTATGAACGGAAAGTCATGAAGCAGGCATGGAACGTCACGAAGTAGGCATATAACGTCACGAAGTATGAACGGAACGTCACGAAGTATGGACGGAAAGTCACAAATTAGACATGAAACGTACTGATGTATGCATGGAACGTTACGAAGTAGACATGGAACGTCAAGAAGTATGAACGGAACGTCACAGAGTATGCAGTGGACGTACTGATTCATTATTTACTTCCGTGTGAAAGACTGAGTTTTCAGAAGTTGAAAAAAGTGATATTTTCATTGCAGTGAACATAACACTTGATATTTCAATGTAGTGAACATAACACTTTGACGGAACTATTGTCATACAAGCGTTACCTCCCCTTAAATTGTCTCCCTTTGTCGTAAGTGACGAGCCCGTACACAAACTGTTGACGTCCCGTTTACGTTAGGTACACATTGACAAGCCAAAATAATGATAGACGGTCATGTATGGAGTTAATATCACTTCTTGACGTTTGTTATTCTCTCGAAAAATAATATTTCATTATAAACTGTAAATTTATCATTTAACTCGTCAATCAAGACTGTTCGTTTCGCAAAACGCCATTTTTGTTATTTGACCAGCGTGTATTCTTTCGCTTCCAACAGCGGTCTTCTGGTTTCTCAAGAATATTTATTTTGTTAAAGTTGATTTTGTATATAATCATATCTTAATGTATGATCAAGAATGTTCGTGACCCTAAATATTGTTTGATACTTTTGTTTATATCTTTTAAGATTTTGCAACCTCGAAACTACTTGTTAAGTTACAAATACAAGGGGTGGTGAACCGTCCCTGTGTGTTAGGTAGGGAGAATTTACGTTTCAAGGTTTTACATTTGTAATGAAATAATTATTTTTTCTGGTAGACAACTACACAAAAATTATATAATAAATAGGATATGCCACGTGTCGAGTAAAATATAATGTTTCTCTCATCGAGTGACTGGGGGAAATATCCTCTATATATGCACCGAGGGACATGAAGTAGGCACACTAGTGATGTATGCACGGACGGTCACAAAACATACAAATGCCACTAGTGAAATGAAAAGAAAAGACCCCGTAACAAAGGCCGTAGCTTGGTCGTTTTAAACCCTTTCACCTGAAGAAAACTTATGATTTATCATTGGGGAAAAGTTTAAGAAAAGTGAGACTTTAAGGAAAATGTTAAGATGAAGTTGCTTGAATGACATTGTACCCTGGGGTCAGTGCTGTTGAACTCTTGATCATGATAGGGTGATGTAATCAATACTTAACCCTGTTTACCCCAAAGATTAGACGAACTCTCATCTGGAGGTCTTTGTAATACCATAGGTTTCACGTCCCCACTTAAACCAAGTCATTTATAAATGGCCACATCTAGCAAAGATTGAAGAGGTGAACTTTAGCCCAGTGGCTTAATGGAAGTGGTTGAACCTCATTGTAATGCACAACCGACACCCAGAAGGGCGGACCGCATTTAAGAAACGGTTAAATAGGTATTGACCACCACCCTTGCCTCACATAGGAATATGTTTGTGTTACTGCTTTGTGTTCTACTCAAGCAGCTTAGGCTTATAAACTCTGGTCATCTAGAACTGGATTACCGTAGTCAAAGATCTCCTTAGTTTACTTTTGAATTTATGTGGTGTTCGTGTATGCAAAGGCTATCTTTGAATAATTAATATTTCTTTAGAAAATTTCAAGAAATGTTATTATCTAGCATTCATGACATTCACTTTACAGGAACTCCGGATTTACTAATTCCGAAAGGGGCAAAACATTTTAAGTATTTCCGATTTTCGCATAAGCAATAATGTTTGCCACATTAGGGGTGCTAAACCCCACATTATCCAGCTACGAGGAATAATCTGTTCTAGGTAAATTAACTTTAAAAATCTCTATACAGATTATCTCTAATTCTGAGCAATTTTTCACTTTTATGTGTAAATATAAATTCACACACTCCTCATTCTCGCCGTCCTGGGATAATATCCCCATTATACTGCAAACCAATTTGGTAGTCAGATGGGAAGACTTCCACTTGAACGGACTATTCTGTATCTCTGTACACGCGCGTACGTTTACAAAAAGTTGAAGAGTCTGATCGCGTGGCATGCCAATGAGTCTGTTGTGGTAATGCACTGTATTTAGAGTCACAGCATTTCTGACGTAGCGCAAAAACTGGCTCACTACCTATCTAGGCTTACTACCTACATGATTGATTACATGTGTTTAATGACGTCATAATAGTACTGCCGTCACGGATTGTCACAAGGCTGTTAACTACAGCTTATCTTAAAGGGTGGATAATAATGAGATCACTGCCTTCTAGTCGAAATAGCACTCCTCACTCATTCGTTCCACAGTAGGGAGATGTTTTGAGCCACCAACACCGATGTTAAGACAACTTTACTGGTTGCCCGTGGAACAGAAGCTCTCCATAGGGATACAGAACCTAACCTTTTCATTTATATATGATGATTTGTTCATTAAATTCGTTGAAACGATGTTGTGTGATAATACCAAACTAACTTGAATTCGCAGTTTAAGATCCACTGCATGATGATCAAAATAAATATCTCAAATCCTTTCGCAATCTTCTAAATGTTTCTGTTGCCTAGAAACAGTATGCAGTTAGCCAGGAATTCTGCTATTTGTTTGTGTGGTCACTTCAAACCACGACACCTTCTATCTATTATCCTACAGGTGCGCCATCCCCGGTTACGACAACGACACCTACGATGTACAGTCGGACAACCACGCGCATCTGATCAACGCCACCATCCCCTACGTCAAAAAGGACGGCAAACTGCAGCTTGACAGCTGTCACATCTACTTCAACGGTAACAACGGCACCAATGATGGCGTCAACCGTACAGTGGTCGGGTGTCAGAAGTGGGTGTACGACAAGTCTGTGTTTGAGTCTACTGTGTCAACGGAGGTGAATATTCAACTGCTAATATTAAGGTCCGCTGGACTCTTCTGTACAAATAGTCCCAGACTATTCAATCTACACTAAAAACGTACCATTACTTTACGTTAATTAGAAGTCAGGACAGTAAAAGGAACTTTTACTACTTTTCGATCAAATACTGAAATTTCCAGATGTAAGTGTAATGATAATGTCTATTAAATGCATAACGTAAAATTAGTAAAGAGAGTGTACACATGCTGTATCTTCTGCTAGCACTGGTTGGTGTCAGTCGACTCACTGTATTGTATCTCATCCGATGATACGTGAAGGTATATGAGAATGGACACTACTTTGACATATTTCACAAATAACCAATTTCTTGCAGCTCAACTTCGTGTGTGACGACGCCATACTTGCCACACATTCTCAGATGATATTCATGGGAGGCTACTTCTTCGGAGCCTTTGCTGCTGGAGCCCTGGGAGACAAGTGAGTCACAATATGACTACTTCTGTAGAAAACATTGCGAGTACAATAGTTAACACGAGAAGCAAGCTATTAAACATCAATCAATCAATCTTTATTCAAGTAATTAAGAGGCACCAAGCCTATTTTACATGTGACAGAGATGTTGCACACAATTTTAACAGATTTGGTTCTATATAACAGTGCGTGGAATATGTACATGTCTTAGTTTTGCATTATTAATTATCTGGACTGTTTAACAATTGTCGGAATTTCACAATATTTGGATCGTTAAAGTAGTATATAGGAATATATTTTTTTCTCACATGGAGTAAAATGGACATACAAGTAAAAAGTGATATTCATCCTCTACATCTTGCCTTTTACACATTTTACATAAACTTTCTGACCTTGGAGATTTTGTGTATCTCCCACTCTCGACGCACAAATCATGGGATGAACGTCGAAATCTTGCTAATGAATTGCGGTATTTCTTTATATTTACATAAAACATATACTGTTCAGTGTATATATGAGTTTTCAACATTCTATAATATAAACATTTATTCGATAATGTCAACGAAAATGACCACGATTACAGATAAATATCTTTTAACCTCTGCAGAAAAGAATAGGTAAATACACTTTCAGATTGTACAAATTGATCATACCAAACATTTCCAAAACCACTATTGAATAACAATTTTTTCACATAAGTTACCGATTTAGTCTTTCCATTCGTATCGTAGAACATTGTAACATTTCTAAGGGTATCAGCCAGTACTTTATGACTTTCAGCTGTGAATATATGAATAGAAGATATCTACCACATTCTCCATAAACCAATGCGCTAGATGTGTTGGGTTTTACACCGAGCAATCTTTTACACGCAAATAAGTGGACCTTTTCGATATCATTAAATTGTTTTAATCCCCATATTTCAGCACCGTAAAGTAAGATTGGGTTAATTATAACATCAAAGATCTTAAAGAATGACTTGTAACTTATATCACCAAGGATATGTATAATTCTTTAGTATACCAAATAAAACCCTTTCGGCATGAACTGATGCTTCTCTTACATGAATAGACCAATTTAGATTGTAACTGAAATAAACACCCACATATTTATAGTGTGTAGTCACATTCAAACTTTCACCTTTAAAGAACCCTTTTTCATTTTGGCAAGTTTGCAACCATTTCTGAATACAATAATTTTGGTTTTGACTCTATTAAAAGTGAGTTTCCATTTATCACAGTAATTTTCTGAGACATCAATTTGCTTTTGCAAGTCACTAGCTGTGCTTGAGAACATGATAATATCATCTGCAAATAATAAAAGAAAGAGTTGAACAACAACTGGATGCAATTGAATGCCGTTTGTACAATTGTTAAAATAAAAACAGACTCAATATAGATCCTTGGCGGAGGCCAAATTTGTATTAAAACATATCAGACATCAAACCCTTGTCCCGTACACACGTTTTAACATTTTCATAAATACTACATAATAACTTCAACATTTTTGGAGTCCACCTGCAGAAAATGATCTCCATAGTTTACACCTGTATATAGAATCAAATGCTTTAGAGAAGTCAACAAATAAGCCATAAGACTTCCCCCCCTTTTTGTTGATATAGCGCTGTATCAGAGATTGCAATATAAAGACATTATCAACTGTGGAATATCCTTCCCTAAATCCAGCCTGCGATTCCGAAATGTTATCCATGGTATTGGCCCAACACACAAGTCTCTTGTTGATAATAAAAGTAAATATTTTACTGAAGATACACAAGAGAGTTATCCCTCTGTAGTTGTTGGCATGATTAGAAGCACCTGCTTTATGAAGCGGAATAAAAATACCAATGAACCATGTTTCCGGGAAGTATCCCTCTTCAAATATCACATTAAATAACAATTCTAGGTATTCTTCTTCCTCATTTACAAGTAGATCAACCGAATGAATAAATAATTCAGAAATGTTGTCATCTATTCATGTTTTCGACATGTAAACACTGTTTATCGTCGATAATATAAGTCACAGATCTCACCTGATGGAAACTGCGTCGGTGGTGGAATTAAAGATGGACGCAGATCTTGGCTCTCAGTTGCTGTACTAGATCCTGTAATCACTACAAACAGAAGCACAGCACTGCGCAGAAGTAGCCTGTATCCTGTCGCCATACCCGGCGTCGACTCACTCGTGGGGCTGTTGGGTTGAATCTTGTCTATTTGTCTCACGCCTTTGGGATGCACAAAACACCCTATTCTCGCCCTCCAGACTTCAGTTGATACCCACATCTGACCTTTATGGCACCTCGAGGTGCTTCAGTATGTTAAATTGTTGTTATTTATTGACTTGAGTTGATGTGTGAACGCCTCTGCTTGCCAAGGGAGCTAACTTTCTCCAATTAAGGGGGCACGGGTGGTCCAGTCGTCTGAGGCGCCGCAATTCGCTGTGCAGAGTTGCGTCCCTTGGGCACGCCAGAAACCTATGATTGCGGGTTCGGATACCGGTTCGCCCCGATTATGTTTCTAGGTTTGTCAGCACCATACCCGTAATCGTGGGTTTCACCGAAGTGGTAAACGTCTAAGACCTGCATCACTTCGGGCTTTTCTCCCACATTAAGCTGACACGCCGTGATATGACTGGAATACTGTTAAAAGCGGCGTTAAACACATCTCACTCACTCACTCACTCACTCACTCACTCACTCACTTACTCTCCAATTAAACTCTATTCAACATGACAAGCACAATGGTAAACATATCTAGTAAATTATTTAAACTCGGCAAGTAAAATAATAAATATTACTCTACATGGTAGACATGGCAAGCATAATAGTAAGCACGACTAGTACAATCTAAATTACGCCTGGTTAAATAGTATACATTACATTACAATAGTAAACACGGATAGTAAATAATTTGGATGGATTGTTGTATAGTATACATGATAAGTAAGTAAATGATGTGTACAAAAGAACACACTCATGTTAAATGAAGTCAAGAATGTAGCATAACGTGTCATGTATATATCACTTTTTCACTTTATTTCTGTTCTTCCCCAAGGATTGGGAGGAAGAAGGCTCTTTATCTGTGTATCCTGTTCCTTATCACTGGCGGCATCACACTGAACTGGTCCAGCAACTTCGTCACATTCGTCTTCCTCCGCTTCATCAACGGCGCCGCTTCAGCCGGGGTCTTCACCACGTGTTTCGTCATAGGTGAATGATCATCCATACTACTGACATGATAGCACCATTGGCAGTAACATGAACGCTACACCTACAGTTACTTCCTAAACTACCTGTACTAATAACAATATGCAGTCATTCAGCTCAGTTATAACCACTTCAAATACACTGACACTACACTACCGTTCCCCCTTACTCTAGATCTACATCTACAACTCTACTGCCTAACTACCACCAAATCAATCACTCAGTTTACCACTACAACTACCTTTCAATTTACCAGTCAATCTATCACTACAAGTACCATTCAATTAACCAATCAATTTACCACTACAACTACCATTCAATTTACCAATCAATTAACCACTACAACTACCATTCAATTTACCAATCAATTTGCCACTACAACTACCATTCAATTTACCAATCAATTTACCACTACAACTACCATTCAACTTACCAATCAATTTACCACTACAACTATCATTCAATTTACCTCTTGCAATCAATCTATCACTACAACTACCATTCAATTTACCAATAAATATACCACTATAACCACCACTTTCTTATAACCACTCAATCAACCACGGCGTTGCAACAAAAGATGAAACCCACATTTTCTATATTTTATCAGAATATACGTATAAGGCAGCAAAGAACAATGAAGAATGCATATGAAGCGTGGTTCACTATTTTTACAGCTTGTTCATTTTATCATAATGTTGATATCTCATATAAGAAATAAACGACACGTGGAAGTTCTTTATCGTACAGGCGGAATGCGCCTCTCATGGTTTATTGTCACTGCAGCGTTTTATTGTACGATAAACAACGACCACTAAAATTCTATTCTTTAACAACTATTTCTTTAATAGTGAGTGAGTAAGTTTGGTTTTACGCCGCTTTTAGCAATATTCCAGCAATATCACGGCGGGGAACACCCGAAATGGGCTTCACACAATGTGCCCATGTCGGGAATCGCACCCGGGTTTTCGGCGTGACGAGCGAACGCTTTAACCACTAGGCTACCCGACCGGCCCTTTCTTTAATAGACTATGGATATATATTGAGTAATTCTACAACTCGGAATTAATGCTTATCAGTTCCTTCTGAAAATTGTTGTTCTCTAAGTAGTTGTTTTCTGAGAAATAGTTCTCCCAGCTTTATTTCACCAGGTTTGGAGATAGTAGGTCCCTCTAAGCGTGTTTGGACCGGGATAATGATCGAGGTGTTCTTCGCCATCGGCATGACGATGTTGTCCGGAGTTGCCTACTTCATCCGAGACTGGCATACGCTGGAGCTAGCCATGTCCATCCCTGTCGCCTTCTTCCTCATTTACTGGTGGTCAGTGATTTAATCATGTTGTTAATGACAGCTCTAACGGAACAGTAGCCAGCCTTAACGCAAACCCTTGAAATGAAAGAAGGCCCATGACGAAAAATGAGAAAATATACTGAAATTATAAGTCGGCTTGCAAGACCCTTAAAGTCCATAAGAGCTAAACTACATTCTGAAACTTTCGTTACGTTAGAATTTCAAATACGAATACAATATCTTGCGACAAAAAAATAGCCTGCTTTAAATTTACATGAAACTAATATGATATGAAAGTTTACAATTACATGTCATTGAGTTGAAGGTTTTAAAATTGTATTATGTATCGAGCCAAATAGGTATACTTGATCTTTTTGACAGGGTCATTCCAGAATCTCCAAGATGGCTGCTGAACGAGTTCCGGGACCAGGAAGCGGAAGTGATCATACGCCGCGCAGCAGCCGTGAACAAAGTCACGTTACCCGAAAAACTGTTTGAGCACCAAGCGTCAGAGCTTGAAAAACATAATAACGACAAACTCAAGGGCAGCTTCTTCGATCTCTTCACCAATCCAGTCATGTGTATACGAACTCTTATCATATTTTTTAACTGGTAAGATGGGTAGGTTTTTGTGACCTGAAATAGGTTACTTTCACATTGTAAGATGTTGGTTTATAAAATATTTTGGACAAAGAAAACATGTCAGTGGTAAAGGCTTAAAAACAAATTAATTGGCGTTGAAGAAAGTAGTCCCTTGCTCGCTTTAAAAGAATCAACGGCAAGTAATAGTTGTCTCTACTCCTAGCTACGAGATTCAAAAGTTATAGATGAACACTTTCCTCAATACGATGTGCTACTCAAAAGCAATTTCATAAAAAACACGGAATATATACACAAGCTGTATTAACATAAATAACTATTCTTTTGACAAACCTGAGATATTTAATGTATTCTGACCTATTTTGTGACAAGACAATGACTCAATATATATTATTTGTACTGAAATGTTAGATACTTGAACAGTCTAAGATTTCATAATTACAACATAGTGCAATTTGACGCACACTGGACATTTGTGTTAGAAGTTATTATAAGTAGAAATGCGTTTTTGTATAAATACGTTTCGAAACAAATTCCCGTAAATTAGTATGTAAACAAATGCAATTTTGTGTGATCAAAATGATTTGGAGGAATAAACGTGATGTAGTGCCTACAAAATCTCGTTTCTCTTGGCTTCATATAAATATTTTTCACTAAACGTTCTTATCAATGTTGTTGGATTTCCGTGGCTCCAAAGAAATTATAATGGATGAGAGTATGGTTGGCGTGTTCTCCGCCATCATTAATTCCCCTGAGGACATATTGACAGGGGTAATAATTTGTGGCGAAACGTAATATGGATGTTTACTACCGATGTTCTTTTAATTCATTTGAAAATTAATGTACCCAATGCTGCCCTTCTACACCACGCAGACCAAATGAAAAAGCCAAATAATTATAAAAGAACTTAAAACTCACAATCGGCATACTTTCCTTAGTTCTGATGTGTAAGGTGAGCCACAGTTCTTGGACAATATTTTTGTTTAATATCAATAAAGCAATACTCGTCAAGTTTCTCAATATTTGTTATATGAATAGTTCTTATCATTTTTTGCTTACCTTTTTAGATATGAAATAAATTCATCTCAATTTATTTGGCTGCCCCTTATATGTTTCTAATCGAAACGTATACTTGTCTGCTTAGAAAGTAACGGATGTCAGATGTAGATTCTGAAATATGAATAATTACATCTGCTGACATTTGATGACTGTCAGATGTATTTAATGCCAAAAGTCACCAGGGACTGATTTTGCTATTTATTCAATATAACCCATAATCATTACTTGCAGCTCAGACCACACTGTTTTGAATAGGATAATCACGTTTATGATTGAAGACCATCTGGAAATGTTTTCTTATAAAATGATTTGAAACTTGCGTTTAGGTTGGTGGTCAGCATGGTGTACTACGGCCTATCTCTCAACTCAGACAACCTTGGGGCAGGCAGCCTCCACCTCAACTTCCTGCTGGTGGGACTTGTGGAGTTCCCGGCCTATGCGCTCTCAATAGGATTGCTCAACAGACTAGGAAGGAAGATCATGCACTGTGCAATGATGATCATAGGAGGAGTGTCCTGCATCCTCACCATCTTCACTATCCTGTATGCTGATCAGTGTAAGTAGAGTATGTTTCAATGTAAGTTGACAATGTATTACTATCCTCGATATGATGAGCGCAAATAGACACTGGCGTTACAATCCTCTGCGTTGATCAAAGAAGGTAGAAAATGTGTAACCATAATGTCTGTTAACCAGTGTAAGAAGACGATGTCTAACTGTCAAGTATCTTGATGAGTGTAAGTGGACTGTGTGTTACAATCCTCTATGTTAATGCATGTAAATAGACGATTTCTTGTAATCCTGTATGTTACTGAGTGTAGTAGACGATGACTGACAACCCCTTATGGTAATCAGATATAGTAGACGACCACTGACTTGGCGCTGACTTCACTCACTAGTCTTATGAGTGTAAGTAAACCAGCCCCTTATGAACATGAGTGGAAGTAGACGAGGCTTACACTCCCTTATGTACACCAGTGTAAGTAGAATATATGTCACTATCCTTATGTACACGAGTGTAAGTAGACGAGTCTTACAATCCCTTATGTGCACGAGTGTAAGTAGACGAGTCTTACAATCCCTTATGTGCACGAGTGTAAGTAGACGAGTCTTACAATCCCTTATGTGCACGAGTGTAAGTAGACGAGTCTTACAATCCCTTATGTGCACGAGTGTAAGTAGACGAGTCTTACAATCCCCTATGTTCATGAGTGTAAGTCGACCATACCTTACCAGTCCCTTATGTACACGAGTGTAAGTAGACCAGCCCCTCATGTACACGAGTGTAAGTAGACGATACATTACCATCGCCTTATGTACACGAGTGTAAGTAGATGGCACCTTACCATCCCTTATGTACACGGGTGTAAGTAGATGACACCTTACCATCCCTTATGTACACGAGTGTAAGTAGATGACACCTTACCATCCCTTATGTACACGGGTGTAAGTAGACGACACCTTACAAGTGCCTTATGTACACGAGTGTAAGTAGACGATACATTACCATCGCCTTATGTACACGGGCGTAAGTAGACGACACCTTACCATCCCGTATGTACACGAGTGTAATTAGACGACACCTTACCATCCCTTATGTACAAGAGTGTAAGTAGATGACACCTTACCATCCCTTATGTACACGAGTGTAAGTAGATGACACCTTACCATCCCTTATGTACACGAGTGTAAGTAGATGACACCTTACCATCCCTTATGTACACGAGTGTAAGTAGATGACACCTTACCATCCCTTATGTACACGAGTGTAAGTAGATGACACCTTACCATCCCTTATGTACACGAGTGTAAGTAGATGACACCTTACCATCCCTTATGTACACGAGTGTAAGTAGATGACACCTTACCATCCCTTATGTACACGAGTGTAAGTAGACGATACCTTACCATCCCTTATGTACACGGGTGTAAGCAGACGATACCTTACCATCCCTTATGTACATGAGTGTAAGTAGACGATGGTTTCACCTGGTGTCACCATGATTCCTGAAACAAAGTCTTCTTAATGTGTTACATTTACTGAAGTAGCTTTTATTTTTGTTTTTGACTTCACTAGTCAAAATGCGAGCATGCACATACCTTTAGCGTTGCTAATAGTTCCGAAATTGGATATTGCCATTCATTCATTTATTCAACCAGTCAGTCAGCCATTTTTGAAAAAAATACATTTATCTGTATCGTACCTTAGAAAGGTTTTATCTTGAGGTGAATATTTTGAAGAGATCTACAATGCTTTGTATTGTAGCAATACAGTGGATCACCGTCCTCTTCGCTATGATAGGGAAGCTTGGGGCAGCAGCTGGCTTTGCCATCATCTACGTGTTCTCCTCAGAGCTGTTCCCAACAGCCATCCGCCACTCCGCCACCGGGGCAAGTTCCTCCTGTGCCCGGGTTGGAGGCATGATAGCTCCATATATTGTAGACTGGGTATGTATATCAAGTAGACATTCATTGGTGTCGAACTTAATTTAAGTTTCTTTTTGTGATAATTAAAGATTAGTCTTCTTTGTGATGTTCGAGCTGATTAAATTTGAAGTTTTCTTACGTATGCATGTTTTATGTGGAGCTCGAATACATAACTGACACAGATGTCTGACCAAAGGTGTAACATGTAAAAGGCAATGCATGATAAGGGTCATTGTTGGCCTATGGAATCTTCATTACGTTTAGAAATCGTTTAGCAAGATGAAGCTTAAAACAGTACATCATATGAACTATTGTATTGGCACCGGTATAAGTATCTACACCGAAAATAATTGAATAAAGAAGTTGTCATCCATAAAATATCTTGGACACATACTTTCTCAGTTAGACAGCTCGAAAATCAACCATTTTCACTCATTTTGCCATACTTATATTTTTTATCATGTCGGAAGTCAGAAACTTGCAAGCGTATGATAAGACAAACCTGACTTCATACCAATATTTGAAAGTTTTCTGGAACTTCAAAAATTGACTTTTTCAGTGGACCAATAAGACCATTGTAATACTTAGCCATTCATGTGTGTTGATGTATACTAATGTACTATGCGTATGTGACGTACCTTCATTGTGGCAAGGAGATAAAACAGTATAACGGTTATCAGATAGATTTGGCAATCACGAATGTTTATTTGGTATTATACTTTTACATTGTATGTATGCAACTGACCATAGTTTCAGATTCATGGTAACGCATTCTCGACATTTGATGGAATAAGGGTTCTACTCAAAGCCAAAAGTCTCTAGTAGTGAAACTTATGAGTAAGATGGTTAACACTTCGTGGTTTGATTTTCAAGAGGGAAAAACAATGATGACACGCTGGAAGTCGGTCGCAAGGTTGTAATCTAATTGGTTCAAACTGTTTTCGTTCCTGTAAATGTATAGAAATGTGTTTTACGCATGACCACATGTCCCAGCATTTGTTTCGAAACGATCGGATTACATCCGGTTGAAATTTATTATTTCAAATACCAGTTGCTACAATTATGATTGCATTCAATATTCACAGTATTACCTTTTCTACAGGGCAAGTTTATTGGCGGGGACTTCGGCCGCGCCCTGCCACTAATGGTATTTGGCAGTCTGTCCGTCCTGGCAGGTCTATTGGCACTACTCCTGCCGGAAACACTCAACAAAGACCTCCCAGAGACTATCGAGGATGGGATCAAGTTTGGCAGGTAACATATTGTATCACAGGAACATTTAAAGCATCAGTTGACTTTGACCTCCCATTTGACATACAGACGCCACAAAAAGATATTTTTCACTTGAATGGAATGAGATCGAAAGCATGTAACCTGGCCATCAACATATTAAGGACTTCTAAAATTATTATATTTCGTTGAACATAAATATACCATATGTTGGTACTCACTGAAATCAGATTAAAATGGCAGTTGTGGTCAGTAAACAAGATTGCATGTGTTGAAACTGGCGAAACACATTTTTTTGTGATGAACAAAAGTTCAAAATGCTAATTGCCATAAACAATGAACACATGGTTATGTTTAATATTTACAGACAACCGGTTCGTCACAGATCCGCAGATGACGAAGGTGCGCTTCTACCTTATTATGGTTACCTAATATACGTTAGCTATAATCACACGTATAGCTCACTTTTGAAACTATTTACAGTGCAACATAATGCTTTATTCAATTCAGAAACTAAATGTTGGTCTCAAAATATAAACATTAGTTGCATTGGATACTGTTATTTCTGGATAATGTCTTAGACAAACTACACTGTATAGAAACATTACTAGTAAAGCGCATTCCTATTTGTGAACTCATGTCTCATTTTATTCTACAGAAAAGCAACGTGGTCTTCCGTTGCTACCTGGCCACAAAGACACTGATGAGAACCAATCACCTATCTACAGACAGCCAACAGCTCCCGTTCAAACTTGACCTTAACATTGAAGGACTATTTGTCTTCTTGTAGTGACAAATGTGTATGAGATGGCCAATGAAATCATCACTCATTCGTAGTTGTATCTGTGCATTTTCAGGTTTCCATTAGTGATCATTTTCATCCTTCAACCTCTAAAGTGTGAAGAACGCTATGAAATGAAAATAACAGTTTTATATGTATGGGCAGCTTTTCGTACGATCCAAACTTGAATGCGTGTATATTTTTACATAATTCCAACGGAACCAATCTGAACTACTTCTTAACAACATATTTGTATAACATGGACCTCCAATCATTTGTAATTGAAATTTTCAATCACCAGGTTCAGCATATAGGACTTTTGTCACATACAACATCGTACCTTTTCATAATCTGTCAGTATCGCAGTGAAAGATTGTACAGTATAACAAACACTGTGGACGTTATTTGTGGTACTATTATTGTGGCGTGTTACTACCCAGCTTACTACAGGCATGACTTGACCCCACGTAAACATGCAAGGCTTAAAGAAACATTACACCGTCGATGTCCTGCTATTGATAAATAGTTCTCAATGGTAAAGCACAAGAAAAGGCAATAGACTTTCATTATCCACATTTCATCTCATGTATTTGTATGCTATACCTGGGACAAGATTATGTTATAGGTACCAATTGAATATTTCAAGAAGGCATTTTTTAATCCATGTATGTTTGTCATTGCATTCATCTGTTCATCGTCCTATTTCATTTTCGTAGAACGCATCGAAGCACTTTAAATGCAATACACATACAGCTATCTGTTCTAGAAGTATCTTAGTCGACTATGTTGGTCGTGTTATGCTTCTTTAGAAAATAGATAGTGCGTTGTTGTTGGAATTGTTCCATTTTCATTGATAGTCTATTTACCTCGCATATTTGTAATGAAATGCAAAGAGATATTTTAGCTTCATATATATGTCGATATTTGGCTTCCCATGTGATCTTTGAAAGCAATAATGTTCCTAAAGAAAGGTTTATGTTCTTATTGTTCACTTGTTAGATCTAGATATGTTTTATATATCTGTTGACACTTTGATTGACATTTTGATGGCTAAGTCAATATCACACACACACACACGCACGCACACACACACGCACACACACACACACACACACACACACACACACACACACACACACACACACACACACACACACACACACACACACACACACCCACACACGCACACACACATGCATATGAGTGCAATAAGCTTAGATGCGACGTTAAACCCCATTTCACATCACCTCACCTCCTTTCACGCGGAGTAATTAGAGGTGAATAACACATTCCTATCAGACACAGCCGCCATGGCATCCATGTTAGTATCTTTACCACTTTAGCACACTATGTGTGCTGAGGCACATCGTCCTCTGTGAGTGAGGTATGTTCGTGTGTATATCCCGTAATGCCTTATAGCCTCATCTGAAACTGTGAAATAGATGTGAGATAAATATGTACAAAGACAGCTGATTTTGTAGTAGTTGTTCGTTGTTTTTGTTGTTTAACGCCGCACTCAGCAATATTCCAGCTATATGACGGCTGTTGTAGTATTAGTATTAGTATTAGTAGTATTAGTATTAGTATTAGTAGTAGTAGTAGTAGTAGTAGTAGTAGTAGTAGTAGTAGTAGTAGTCAGATAACAAACTAGGTAACAACAGCAAGCACTACTTCTGGATGCTCGAACATCCTATTCTTTAAATGATCTATATAAGTCGAAAGACGTCATAAAGTTTAAACGATCTTGTCTTTCTGCTCATTTTCCAGGTACGTTCATGATTTTGAATGAATGAATTCTATAATGTGTAGACAATAAATGCATGAACATCGATATTCTTTGTGTTACACTTCCTTGGGCCTCGGGAAATCTGAAAAGGTCCCACGCATCCCAAATCCGGATCAGATGGTCGTGACTTGGAGGAATTCATGTGTTCGTGTGTTCAGTCTCTGGTACAGATTACTCACAGACCGACGTGGCATAGCTTACTGCGGTGTTAAAAAACATATATGCAACTATCAAGTTTCATGCCCGCAAGGAGAACAGCACTGACAATAACATCGCCATGTTTTAGGGAACCCTGATGTTGGCTGATCTTGACGAAACCTGTCCATAGCTAGACCCACATCCTAAAGGCAATATATATTACATTGAGTGACACAAGCGTCGTGGCATTTACCTTTGATTTTCTAATGACACGTGCCATTAGAATTCCCCCAGGACAAAATATACGATGTTCAGTGTATGACTTCGTCTTGCATATAATCACGAACAAAATCATCACCGGTTGCTGCTGTCACAAGATTAACTTGCCTCCATACAATATACATTGTCAATGCAAGAGAATAACCAGTTTAGATTATCCGCCGAAACAGATTTCATTTAGCGAAAAGGGCAAAAGGGCTGCGAAAATAATATGAATGAACCACTGAAAATCAGTGATGACACCAGGTGTTCGCGAAAAGGGTTAGCATGTCCTGCCCAACCGGTAGCACCTAACATTCACACAACTTGCATAAAAAGTAAGTGTACAAAAGTACAGTCTCGTGAAGATTACGGGATATAATTGGCCTTCAGCAACCCATGCTTGTCGTAAGATGTGAGTAACGGGGTGAGGTGGATAGGGTCGCTGACTTGGTTGATGCATATCATCGTATCGTATGCTAATTGCGAAGATCGATGCTCACAATTGTCAGGTCAAGATTTCATTATTTACTGACCGCCGTTATATAGTTAAACAGCAAACAAAGCACAACAGTACTCATGCTATGCGACGTCGGCCTGTAAGGAAACCAGTGATCGTTGAACATGTCGATCAAGCATGTTTCATTGGACTTTGTAAACAAACTTACATTATGAACATATTCCAATGATAGAAATAGAGTTCATAAGAATGTAATTTAACTAACAATAAAGAATCATAATGTGCGGCCGTTGGTCGTCAGATAATACTTTGTCCACAAGCTTTGGGTGTTTGACTGATAGAAGTTGGATCGTGACTCATTGTTTTGACTCTATTCTTTGTTCATCAAGACGAGTAGACGAGTGTCATGTGGAATCCATATTTGTTTCTGTAATACTGCACTTATAGAAACACAAGCGTGAAGCGTAATAACAATATCATCAGCTGTCGAGTGAGATAATTGGTCACATGACAACGCATTTGGAGGGGCTTCATCATAATCGACTGTAGCTATTGCATTATCCTGAAATAGGAATGCTTGCTGCCATCTTTAATAAGTCTACTTGACAGCAGAATAGAAATCTAAAGTCACGAAGAACATACAGATGAGACTCACATTTGATGATGTTTTGCGGGACCAGGGGTAGTTTGGACGCTATCAGAAATGGTTGGTCTTTCTCCTGTGTCTCCCTGGCATCACCCATGGAATCAGGATGATGATCAGCGTGTTCCTCCTCAACGTTCCAGACCACAGGTGAGTATGTTGAACAAAATGTGGAATTGTTTGAACACAATACAAATATAAGCACTTCCTATTTTCTGTTATGGATATTTAGAGGCTTCTTTCTCAATGGAGTCATTATTTTTCATATATATTATCGTTTGAATGTATTCATTCTTTACTTCTCTATTTTTTAAGTAGGCAATGGACGATATAAACTTTCAGAAAAAAAACCTTAATATGTCAACGTCTGAATACACTACCGAACGTGAATTTACACAATTAATATGATTTCTGGATCTGTGTATGAGAGTAACCATTCATTTTGCTGACATTAAGCAGCATCTGTATCTGTATTCCTATCAAAATTCATATTGTATCTCGACCTCCCTATCAATATCCATATTGTATCTCGACCTTTCTATCAACATCCGTATTATATCTCGACCTTCCTATCAACATCCGTTTTGTATCTCGACCTTCCTATCAATGTCTTATTGTATATCGACCTTCCTATCTATATACGTATTGTATCTCGACCTTCCTATCAATATCCGTATTGTATCTCGACCTTCCTATCAATATCCGTATTGTGTCTCGACCTTCAATATCCGTATTGTATCACGACCTTCCCATCAATATTCGTATTGTATCTCGACCTTCCCATCAATATCAGCATTGTATCTCGACCTTCCTATTAATATTCGTATTGTATCTCGACCTTCCTATCAATATCCGTGTTGTATCTCGACATTCCTATCAATATCAGCATTGTATCTAGACCTTCCTATCGACATCAGCATTGTATCTGGACATTCCTATCGATATCAGCATTGTATCTCGACCTTCCTATCGATATCAGCATTGTATCTCGACCTTCCTATCGATATCACTATTGTATCTCGACCTTCCTATCAATATTCGTATTGTATCTCGACCTTCCTATCGATTTCAGTATTTTATCTCGACCTTCCTATCGATATCAGCAGTGTATCCCGACCTTCCTCTCGATATCAGTATTGGATCTCGACCTTACTATCGATATCAGTATTGTATCTCGACCTTCCTATCAATATCCGTATTGTATCTCGACCTTCCTATCGATATCAGCATTGTATCTCGACCTTCCTATCGATATCAGCAGTGTATCCCGACCTTCCTCTCGATATCAGTATTGGATCTCGACCTTCCTATCGATATCAGCATTGTATCTCTACCTTCCTATCGATATCACTATTGTATCTCGACCTTCCTATCAATATTCGTATTGTATCTCGACCTTCCTATCGATTTCAGTATTGTATCTCGACCTTCCTATCGATATCAGTTTTGTATCGCGACCTTCCTATCAATATCCGTATTGTATCTCGACCTTCCTGTCGATATCAGTATTGTATCTCGACCTTCCTATCAATATTCGTATTGTATCTCGACCTTCCTATCGATATCAGTATTGTATCTCGACCTTCCTATCGATATCAGTTTTGTATCGCGACCTTCCTATCAATATCCGTATTGTATCTAGACCTTCCTATCGATATCAGTATTGTATCTCGACCTTCCTATCAATATCCGTATCGTACCTCGACCTTCCTATCTCTATCAATATTGTACCCCGACCTTCCTATCGATATCAGTATTGGATCTCGACCTTCCTATCGATATCAGTATTGTATCTCGACCCTCCTATCGATATAAGTATTGTATCTCGACCTTCCTATCAAAATCAGTATTGTATCTCGACCTTCCTATCAATATTCGTATTGTATCTCGACCTTCCCTTCAATATCTATTTAGGGCTTTCTTTCTCACTCTCCTAGGTTTTGCTATTTCCCTGATCCACCATGGTACCGGAGTTTTGCCAGTTTTGTGGTCTTTTTTTAAATTGATTTTTCAGCTGCGGCAATAATTGCTGAGGTGAGATTTGGGCAAAAACAGATTTCTGAGGACTTGAATGATATACATTCCTTCCTGAATTTAGACCTAATCAGCGTTTGCATAGTCCCATGCGACAACAATACGACTGTTTTCAACAATATTCAATATCAATTGATGCTTCACATTTCCAGGTACGGAGATTTTGGGACCTTCTAAGCGTATATGGATGGGGGTGATGATCCAGGTGTTTTTCAGCGTCGGTATGACGGTGATGTCCGCAGTTGCATACTTCAACCGAGAATGGCATACGGTGGAGCTCGGCATGTCCGTCCCTGTCGCCATCTTCCTCATTTACTGGTGGCAAGTTGTGCAAAGACATATTGAGTACATTGGTATAATGTTTTGGATTCAAAGAGAAAATCAACCGAATTATTCAAGTTTTTATAATTTTATATCATATGTTATTTGTAGAAGATCATTTGCTCGTGAGAAACATGTTCCATTCCCCAATGGATCTGGTTTGAAAGCGATGTTAGGAAATGCACGACATCAAAATTGTGTTATCCTATAATTGAAGCGACACATCCTTCACAGGATCACACCAGAATCACCAAGATGGCTGATAAACGAGTTCCGGGATGAGGAAGCGGAAGTGATCATATGCCGCGCAGCAGAGGTGAACAAACTCAAGTTACCAGACAATCTCCTTGAGGAACAGGCAACAGAGACTGAAACACATGATCACAACAGGCCCAAGGCCAGCATCTTCCATCTCTTCACCACTCTCGTTATGTGCACTCGTACTCTCATTATATTTTTTTAACTGGTAGGTTGGTTAAAAGTAGTGCTAAATAATTAGTATAACATCTCGTAAATATTTTAAACTTCAAACCAAACACAGATTATACGTTATGATGCAATACGGTAAATGTGTCAGCAACCACTGGCTAAACGTTTATTGAAATTATCTGGTAAAAAAACTAATTTCGCACAATTGTGATTATGCAGTCACATATATGTTACAATGTTTGGAAACCTATGTATTTATATGAATATTATCCCAATAAGGTACCTGTATACCAACTGATAATTGTTTATTGTGTGTTAGGTTTGTGGTCAGTATGGTGTACTACGGCCTGTCCCTCAACGCAGACAACTTGGGGCAGGCAGCCTCCATCTCAACTTCCTGATGGGAAGTCTGATGGAGTGGGTATTGGTCTCACGATGGGTGCCCTCAACACACTAGGGAGGAAGATCTTACATTGTGTGGCTGTGATCATAGGGGGTGTATCCTGCATCGCCACCATCTTCACCATCCTCTATGCTGAAGCATGTAAGTGGAGACCAACATCATGTAAAATGAGTTGTGTGTGTTGATCGCCTGTGCATCCCTAGACTCTTCTGGAGAACGCGTCAGAACGTCAGTTTCAAAATCACAACACCAATACAGTTTTCATTTCTGGACAACAATTTATACTCTAAATGCCCTACGTATCGTGAGCGTTTATAAAAGTTAATATTGTCCCTTATTATCCACACTATATCAGTTAGTCAGTGTTTGTTGTAACCAAGAATTACATGACAAATCGATTTAAAATACACATTGTTCAAATGCGTAATATTTTCTCAGAAACAACCCCTTCCTTCCAGTTGTTAATTTCTGTGGCCCAACATCAAAATCATAAAATTGTAAGTTCTGATGTCACGACATTTTCTTGATTGACAAAAAGTAGTAAACTTTCTTTGTAGCACTATAGTCGGTGACCGTCCTGCTCGCTTTGATAGGGAAGGTAGGGGCCACAACAGGCTTCACATCTTCACATCTACATCTTATCCTCGGAACTGTTCCCCACTGTCATCCGGCACTCCGCCACCGGGACAAGCTCCTCCTGGGCCCGAGTAGGGGGCATGGTTGCTTCTTATGTTGTTGACTTGATATGTCAAACAAATGATGTAGTTTCAAGGTCCTATTTCGTCCCGTGTTCTCTACTAAGATAAGTTTTTTTGGGTAAACTGGTAATAAAGGCAGCTGCGAAAAATAATAATAAAACCTTTAAAGGATGGTCCCTAGGAGAAACGTTCAGCTGTCACATGACCTGTACTTCACAGTTTCTGTAAAATCTATCATCAACTCTGGATAAACCATTGTAAGGGACCGAGTATTTGATATTCTAATATGTTTTCAACTACAGCTGCAAAACCAGATGTATAGTTTAAGAAAACATATGAGCCAACATATTTTTTTTAAAAACCACACATTGTCACACTGTACATTTTGTGTCAGACATTCATTTTCAATGAATATGAATTCCGCACCCTCCAAAAAATATCAAATGATCGGCCCCAATGGGAAAACGTTTCAGAATAGGCAACTAAAACAGGCAATTAATTCATTTGTTATGTCGGATTTGGTACACCGCAAGTTTGTTGGCGGGGACTTCGGCCGGACTCTTCCACTGGTGATATTTGGCATCTTCTCCGTCCTGGCAGGTCTGTTGGTCCTATTCCTGCCGGAAACACTCGACAAAGACCTTCCGGAAACTATCGAAGACGGAGTCAAGTTTGGCAGGTACCACATGGAACACGCAGGGCGATCTGGAAGAATGACCGGCAGCTTGTAGTATTTGTACCAATTTCTTTCTCTTTCTGTTAATAACAACTACAAGGGAGATGTTCGTCCTACCTTATAGTGAGTATCATTTATAGGAATGATCCAGATATATAACGGCAATGGGCTTCACACATTGTACTCATGTGGGGAATCGAACCCGGGCCTTCGGCGTGACGAGCGAACGCTCTAATCACTAGGCTGCCCATCGCGCCTCCTTCCCTGCAACAACATATATGCTGTGCTTTTGTTTTTCTTTTAACTGTTGTTTTGCTTAACGCGTGACAAAGGTATAAAACTGTCAAAACGTGCCTGTTCGATGTAGAATAACTCTATTTACCTCTAAAGCTTTGCATTTCGAGATATATTGATAAAAACAGTTTCATTTTGAACAGCAGTTCAGTGAATAACCTTGTCGAAGTCACCAAACGGACTACATACTTAATCAAACAGCCGAAATATGTATTTTGGAACTATAAGCTGAAGTTGGGAAAAACACTCTAACGTGACGGATATTGTTGACATTTGCCCAATTATGGTTAAATCC